AAAATAATACCTTTAATAGTTTTTTGATTGGCCTCACGGCAGACAAAAATAATGAATACTCTCTGTGAAAAGCTGCTAAATCATTTAACAGACCAATGCAGCAGTCTGCCCCAGTGAAAACAAACGAAACTCAGTGGGCTGAAACAAATACTCAAAAAGCGAACCTGTTTGCTGAACACCTAGAGAAAACCTTCAGTCCAAATGAAGGCCAAAATGTTATTGGGTCAAGTACAAATTGGCCCGAAGGCGACATTGCAATTGTTCCAGTCACTACGGCAGAAGTGAATGAACAAATTTTAAAAATGAAACTCAAAAAATCTCGTGGTTTTAACGGCTGAAGTTCTTCGAAACTTGCCCAATAACTGCATCATCTACCTATGCGATTTAATTAATTTGTGCCTCCGTTTGAAACACGTACCCATATTTTGGAAATTCGCTGAGGTAATTATGATATCCAAACCGGGGAAGTCTCTCAATGACGTATCCTCATATAGGCCAATATCTCTATTGCCAACCTTATCGAAGCTTTTTGAAAAACTACTACTAGCGCGTTTATTACCAATAACTGAGAGAAGACGCTTAATTCCTGATCATCAATTGTGCTTCAGTAAAAACCACTCAACCATCAACCAAATACATGTAGTCGTAAATGCCATTGAATCGGCGATGCAAGAAAAGAAAGTGTGTTGTGCCGTCTTCTTAGATGTATCACAAGCCTTTGATAAGGTTTGGCATGAAGGACTACTTCATAAACTTAAGTCGTTATTGCCTAAACAATACTGTGAGCTGCTATCATCGTATCTAAACGACAGGTACTTTAGTGTTAAATATGAAGATGCACATTCAGCACTAAAGAAGACTAACGCTGGCGTCCCGTAGGGGAGCATTCTTGGGCCCATTCTATATCTCCTGTATACACACGACCTACCCTCTGCAAACCAACTAGTTACAGCAACATTTGCAGACGATACTGCGGTTCTAGCAATCGAAAACAATATAGAAGACGCGACGGCTAATCTACAACACACAGTCAACCAAATTGCTTCATGGGCAAAAAATGGAGAATCAAGCTAAACAAGGAAAAATCTGTATATATAGTCGTCTCATTGAAAAATTATAACCATATTCCAATTCATATCCATGACACAAAAATTTCACACGCCAACAAAGCCAAATATCTAGGCATTACGCTCGACACCAAGCTGCGCTGGAAAGCGCATGTTAAGAAAAAACGAGAAGAGCTTGACCTAAAACTAAACAAATTTTACCACCTCATCGGCAGGCGCTCTAAACTGGCAATCCATAACAAACTAATGGTTCATAAAGAAATACTGAAGCCGGCTTGGAGCAAGAAACATATTGCAACTATCCAGCGCTTTCAAAATAAAGTATTACGATACATCGTAAATGCATATTACATTAGAAACAGTGATCTTCACCGTGACCTTGGCATGCCAACAATCGACGTCGTGGCTAAAAGATGTGCCATTGCTCACAAACAGCGTTTGAAAACACATGTCAACTTTACAGCATCCAGTCTTCTCCAGGTGGTTGCAATACCTAAACGGCTAAAAAGGAAAACAGTAGCAGACTTAATGGACAGCGAGTAGCAAAATAGCTTTGTTTTTACCATAAATATTCAAATCAAATTGCTTATTAGTATCTCTTATTTGTTATTTGTACTAGGTGCAATATTAAAACAATTTTTGTCTTTATTTTAAGAATCGTTAATAAAAAACAAAAAAAAAAACAAAAAAACTGAAATTGTATTACTAATTCCAATCTAAATATGCGTAAAACTGGTTAAATTCCTACTTTTATGTTCTATTCGAATGGATCAAGAATGGAAAAAAATTTTTAATCTAACTTTGTTATCCATAAGCTATAAGTTACGAGTTAAAGATTGAAATATGTCCAGTAATGGATCTTTCTCAGATTATAGATTCGTCAATCATCATATTTATACTTGAGCTCAACTAATAGGTGAACGTAAAAATTAAACGTTTGGAAACATCTGTAAACAATATCCAAATCCTTCGTTACTTAAAATGTAAAAAGAAACTCATACCACCATAGTGAAATAAGGAGTTATCTAGACTAAGAAAAGAATTTAGACATGGTATTTGACTTTTAATTTTTTTTAAATAATCTTACAAAGCAGTGTTACAATCAAAGAAGAAGGTTGCGAAAAACACAACCAATCAATGGAAGGCATTTAAGACACAGTTGGACTCAGCTGGACGTAACCCATTGTAGTAGAGCTGAGTTACAATTAAATGAGAACGAAAACCCTATTTCGTAAAGCTACGATATAAGGATCAAACATATAGCCAATAAGCAGCCGTTCTAAAAATTGGGTACCAATTTTTTCAACCAAAAATGCAGGAACTGCTAAGACGAATGGGGAAAAGAAACAATTGAAAAATCCACAAATTTAAGAGACTGACGAACATCCCACATATATATATTCAACCGCCGTTATCAACCACACAGGTTAACCTTAAAACTGAGATTCTCATAACTAGGTTTTTAATATCAAAGCGACGGCCATGCGCTACTTGAACAGAACAGGAAGCTCTTCCAACCAACCAAAATTGTTGAATCACCAGAAATGAAAAAGTTTCTAAACAGAGAATCAGATTCTTTGCCGAATTACAAGGAGAATCAAATATCATAACTCATAAAATAATTATGAGGGACGTTGCGCTAATCAAAGATATTATCCGAAAACCCAAGCAATGCAAAAAATTTTAAATCACTAGATGGACAATTTATTGAATAAAGGACGCATTGAACGTTCACACAGCGTATGAATAGTACTCGTAAAAATGAAATATAAAACTTGGAGATTCTGCATGTGCTGTTTAATGCACACTCAATTCCTGATACGTTCCTACTGTCGCGAATACTACACAAATTATACGAACCACAAGAAGCCAAATATATTATACTGAACTTTAAATATAAATGTTGACAAAAACTCACCGTCTTTTTGGTTGCATGCAACGCCTGCCATCTTCCAGTGAGAATTGAATTAAATAATCGAGCCGAATATAAATTCCCACGCTTTCATGTATATAAATGATATTATAGTCACTAAACAGACTCCCTAAGAAGACTTAACATATTTGTTAAAAGTATTGTATTTAAAATATTAAATATCAATATTCCTGAATGCAAATTTTTCTTCGAAGAAATTAAGAATATTGGGCAAATTGAAGCAACCGAAGAATTTCCATCGGCTCACATAAGATTGTTGATATGACAATTTTATTTAAATTGATGACTCTGATAGTGTATGGGAAATCATAATGGCATAGGTCATACATAAGTTATAACTTATACCTATCGAACATTAGACAACGCAGGTAAATACTACACAACCACTGAATATAAATGAGTTGTAATTATCTGAGGAATAATAGAAATATGACAGCAATTAAAAGAATTGTTTAAAGTATTAACAGACCACCTCGCATTAAAATGGCTTAACTCAATAAGGAACTATTTTGGAGGTATATCCCGATGGGCGCTAAAGTTACAAAAGTATACTTTTGTTATCAAATATCGAAACAAACAAAATGGCATGTAAACCCCAAATTGAAGACACGGTTCTGTGTAAAACAAACATGTTCTCCTACGTTTAATCTGAATGTGCAGTCAAATTTCACCTAAGTTTTCTTTGCCATACTGTACGCCAACAGTCAACGAATAAATGATCCAGACCACCAACCATACCGCATAAAATGAACGGAGTATATAAAACTAATCATTTTTTAAAAGAAAGAAAATTACAGAAAGGGGTTAGTTAAAAAGCTAAGTCAAGGCATACAAACAAGTCAAGTACGGCTTTGGGTCAAGTGACAAATGAACAAGGACTCTGAGGTATCATGTTTAACCCTCGATACTAGCAATTTCAAAAAATTATTTATAAATATTTAAATTTAAGATTAAATTCAAAGACCACTGATGATGGATATTTGGCAAGACTTAGCCAAAAATTCAATTATTTAATATATAACAAAATTTAATTGTTGTATTATGTAATAGTAATATATGTAATAAAATGCAATAAATATTTCGTCTGGAAGATATGCTGCACTCCAAACTAAAATTATCTGAATACCTTATTATCAGAATTCAACGGAGATTTTATTACAGTGAATCATCCAAGTACTTACAGACACAATTGAATAAAAGTGCTTTAGACACTAACTCGAGTTTCATTAAGCAAAGAAGAAGAAATACACATATTTTACGTAAATGTTTACCACATTTGTAATGTGTTTAAGCTCACAAAATGGAAAATTCGCATTTTCTGTCTGCGAAACAGGGTCTAGATCTATTCTCAGACACTTCTCTCACATAACGAACAGCTACTGTTGCACCAACGGCATAGAATCTGAGTGGCTACTGCAATACTAAAAGTCAAGGAAGTATATAGCGCATCTTCATCTCATTAGGGGTAACTACTGCTCAAATAATTCACGCAATCCTATGGATAGATATCCAAATGAATCTTGAAATGGTTTCTGAATATTATTATAGCTTTCTAGCTAATATCAATGACCGTTATAAGTTGGTGTTTTAAGGCCAATTGATATGACTTCTGTATAAAACTAATCTAACCCTGAACATAGGCCTACACACGAGCGATAAAAGTAATAAACAATGCAAAGCGCACGCTGTAGATCCAGCTCTGAATAAATAAGATCCTTCCAAGCGATCCCAATATTATTGCTCACAGTCTGAAATCGGACAAATACTGCCCGTGGCGACGGACGAGGTTCTCAAATGCCTTAACGAAGGCAACAAGGCACCATTGATAAGCGCAAAAAAGCTTTAACTCCTCGCAAACAAAAATACATATATTCATATGAAAAAACGTGCTTATTAAGGATTTGTAATATATTTTTTACTTATTAAGTAAAACAATTTAATACAAATGTATACTTTACAAGTGTTAATATTTATTTAAAACTAGTTACATTTTTTTCTAAAAAAACAAAATTATAAACATTTTACATGAAATTTAGTATAAATAGTGATAACTATTAAATTAATCTCATAATTTGTGATTAGAAGTTAGCCATGTAAGACCTTCATAAAGACCATCTCCTGTTGTTGCGCAGGACGGTTGAACATACCAATTGCGGTCTCTTATTCTAGTTAAACCCAATTTTTCTTGAATTTCATGTGGTTTCATTGCTGTAGAAGAAATAGAAAGTAGTTATACAATTTTCTTACATATTTTTAATTAGTAATAGTATTTAGCTTTATTTATTATTTATAACTAATAAAACTATAAATTAAATGTATACAATTACAAAATTTTAAAATTAAACCATTAACTACCGCTGTTGCAAATACACCACAGTGAAATTATTTTGCGCAGTTATATCAATACTATTATAAAAAAAATTTGACTAAGAATTTTTTCTGATAAATTGTTGAAAGAAAATCTCATTTAGAATATTATCCATCGAACGCAACATCATTTCCCAAACTTTTAATCAACTTTTTATGATCAAGAATCAATCGAATCAATTTTTACTAGATTAAAGTGAATCGTATTTCAGTGAAAACATTTTTTATTAACTGAAATTGGTGCGAATCAGATGGATGAGTGGGATAAAGCTTCCCATCCACTCATAGCGTCAAATTTTAAACCGCTATAGATTGCAACATGCGACTAAGAGTTGTGATGGAAAATTACGAATTTCTGCCTGTTCGCATACTTCGAATTAATTGTTTATATATCTCTCCTGTAACAGTTTTATCATGTTTTAAAAGCCTATAGGTTAGGTTATACCGGCGATCACTAGGGGATCCACTTAGGCCCATTGTGTTACTGAATATAGAGAAAAAGTCAAAGTTTAAACCCAGCTACAACATTTGGTGAAGCTCAAAATGCTTAGCCTTGTGTGAAGAAGAATTTAAAATATAATATTACAAAATTAAATCTGCCTGTCAAGAAAACACCAATATATGAGTTGGACTACTTTAGTTGTTTCTAGATTCAATCCTAGTCAGTTTCAAATAAGTATGATCAACAATAGGGAAAAGTAATACAACTCTGATAAAACTTACATACCCAACAGGTTAGGAGTGTAGATAAGGATAAGATTTACGTGGTCGAGTTAAAAACAAAACTCAATAGATGGAAGTGGTTATTCAAGATTCTTGAATTAGCATCGGAACCTGAGAATGATCAGATTAATTGGTTAAAATCATTTACAGAAGTTCGTAGAATGTACCAAGAAATATAACTGAATGTGAACCCAAAATCAAATTTAAAGTCTACAAATCAAACAAATTGGGAACGTTTAAAATCACTAAAATGTCTTCAGAGACAAATTAAAATTATTCAAATATGCCATTAGATATGCGAAATAAAATTGATTAAATCTTGTTATAGAAACAGCAAAGTGACGTAACTCATAAAAACTTTTACTGATGTTTGACTGCAATTTCCAGAAATCCGCCTTCCAGATTATTGACCTATCGATCCTTATATGCTTCCTTTGTACATATAACATAATTCACTTTTCAGATTATTGACCTATCGATCCTTATATGCTGCCTTTATACATATAATGTATATAACACCTTACGAACATTTTCGGCTAAAGAATGTTTTTATTTTTAGCGCACAGTATTAGATTGATAACTACCTGACTTCACAACAGGTTTCAACACCAAAACAAAATCAATTATATTTTGTATATCTGCCAAGTTTCGACTTCATCTGATGTTTGGTTAGCTTTTTACAAATAATAAAAATAGTGGACCTTGGTAAAAATAGAAAAAATTGAATATCGTTCAGCAATAAAATTCCTCCATTTGAAAGGCATGAACAATGCGCAATTAAATTGGAAATGAATTCTGTTCATGGCAACCTTACACCATTGTTAACAACAATAATATATTGGAAAGCTGAATTTAAACGTGATCGTAAGAGTGTTTTTGCTGAAGAACGTCCGGATCTTCTAAAATCAATTATATTGTGTTAGATGATCCACAATTAAATTGCGCATTGTGGCAGAGATAACAAACATATAATATAAACGCGTATCGAATATTCTACATAAATATTTAGGTATTAAAAAGTTTTCGGCAAGATGGGTGACGCGTTTGCTCACCATTGACCAAAAACGAAAAAGACTTCGTCATTCAAAACATTGTTTGGAAACAATGTAGTCACAATTAATGAAACATGGATCCATTACTTTACACCTGAGAGAAAAACAACAAACTAGAGAATAGGTAGACCCCGAAAGAAGTGCTCCCAAACGAACTCAACAATCGGCTGGAAAATGTTGGTTTCCGTCTTTTGAGATTCAAGTGGAGTAATTTTCATAGACTATTTGGAAAAAGGAAAAACAATAACTATTGTATATATAAGGAAAGATTACTATTGTATATTAATAAATTGAATGATGAAATCAAGAAAAAACGAACATATTTGTCGGTCACACATCAACGAAAACTATCTCTCTAGTTAAATATCTTCAAATAAATTACCCTGCACATGAAACGTACAATCTGGCAATCAGACTGTTACCAGATCTGTTGTAAACTTTAATTCAATTATGGGAGTAATTTTTTTTTGTCTGTCATATTCAAATAATGACGTATTTTTTGATAGTCGTGAACAATTTAACCATTTTAACCCAGTCAAAAAAGATTGTGGATTTATTCTTAAGGACTAACAACAGCAGTAAGGTTTAAGTAAAATCAATATTTTAAAACCCTTTTCTTTACCATCAGAAAGATCCTGCTTATTAGCAAAAATTAAAATTATTGCATCTCTCATTTCTCTATCATTAATTATCCTATGCAATTCAGTTCTTGCTTCATCTATACGATCTCTATCTGCGCAATCGACAACAAAAATTAATCCTTGTGTGCCTGCAAGAATATATAATCATTTATTTATTAAATTTTTTATATTGAATATTACCTGTGTAATAATGCCTCCATAATGGCCTTATTTTATCTTGACCACCAACATCCCATACATTGAATTTTACGTTTTTATAAGTAACGGTTTCGACATTAAAGCCAACTGTGGGTATTGTTGTTACTGACTGGCTTAATTTTAGTTTATATAATATAGCTAGAAATAGATTATAAAAATATTTGTCAAATTTAAACTTAATAAAAAATATAGCTATTGTAGATTATAATTATATATAAAACAGCAAAAACAAAAGTCAATAAGTACATTGAGTTCCCGTTGATTATGTTCTTTTATTTGAATTCCTAGTTTTTTTATTTCCATGTTAGAATACTCTGTAAAATTTAAGTTACTGTAATTACTTTCGTAACAAATAATAATTAAAAAAAATTAATTGAACTCAATAAAATTAAATTATTATTCCTACAATAAAACTAATTACGAATCATATTCGCTTATTGTAACATAAGCACATACATTTCAAACAGAAGTAAACCATATAACGTTTTTGGAAAATTTTGAACAAAATAAAAAATTTATTTTCTTCAAAATAAATTTTATTATTTCAAATATTTTCTTTTTTTCAATTAGTTTACCAACACAAATAATAAACTGTCAATGCAAAGACAGAACTACACAATTTATGCCTAAAAACTACCCAGTCAATGGTTCCCAATTTTCGGCCCGTTAATTTTTTTTCTCTCATTTTATGAAAAGTCCAAACTAAAAAGGCCGAATCTGTGAATGACAACAAATTTTCATAGAGTACGTTTAAACATCACTAATGTTTTCCCAAGCATGTTGGAATTATCTAATATTATTTAAGTGCAACTCGCAGATTGTTGCGTCTACACAAATGTTTTCTTGTGTGTTCAAAGTTTTTTTTTTATCTTTTCTTCACGAACAATACGCGAGCACCAACAGCACATTCAGATCAAAACTGAAAAAATCTAAACATTTATACTAGCGATAACTTGAAGTCAATCTTTTTTTGGTATCAACATAGACCAATCATTTTATACATTCAGTGGATCAAAAAATTCTTTTTGATATACCATTTGATCAAAAAAGAATGTGAAGTTAAAAAAAAAAACGCAAAATTTTAATTTTTAATAATTTTCTTTATTATCGCCTTCAAAGTACTCTCCTCCTGCGCCAATACATGGATGCCAACGCTTGATCCAGTTTTCCATACAAGTTTTATAGGCCGTCGAAGGTATGGCCTTTAGTTCACGCAACGAATTCTCTTTTATGGTCTCTATGATCTCAAAACAAGTTTCTCGCAATAGCAATTTGAGTCGAGGGAAGAGGAAAAAGTCACACGGGGCCATATCTGGAGAGTACGGTGCTTGGTTGATGATATTGGTGGAGTTTTTGGCCAAAAACTGCGACACAATCAACGATGTGTGAGCCGGTGCGTTATCGTGGTGTAAAATCCATGAGTTTTCCTTCCATAAATCTGGCCTCTCTTTGCGAATGTCCCCATGCAAACAACACATAACGGCAAAATAATACTCCTTATTGACCGTCCGGAAGGAATTCATAGTGCACCTCACCACGAATATCGAAGAAAACAGTCGGCATAACCTTGATTTTGGACCGACTTTGGCGTTCTGTTTTCGGTTTCGGCTCACCTTCGAAGCACCATTCGGTCGATTGTTGTTTGGTGGACATGTCAAATTCATAGACCCATGTCTCATCACCAGTTATGATACGTTCGATGAATATGGGGTCACTATCTGCGTTGGAAATCACCTCTTTTTTGGCCACATCACGTCACTTTTTTTGAATGAAATTCAGCTAAAAATCGCCACACGACAATTTTTCGACTTCTTTGTATAGACGCCAAACAAAAACTAATCGTACGATATGCGTTAAACATGCGTTGACAGAATGTGTATAATAGTGTTGCCAGCGTGAAAATAAAAAAAAATTACCGATTGGATAAGCGCGGAAATTCAAAAAAATTTAATTCTCATTCTTTTTTGATCACAAAGTATATATCATTTGTTTTAGTACAAAAAGTAGTATTTGGATGTCAAATCAGGGTAATGCAACGGATATCCCATGAATTCGATCATATATAAGTGTCCAAAAGCCACCTGTTTGAATCAATGTAAGATTCAAGAATCAATGTAAGAATCAATGTAAGCTCGAATTCTCACGGTAAAAAATTTTCCATCTTTAATTTGTTATCCTCATTCCTACAAGCGCAAACAAGTAATCTTCAACAAGTAATTTAGTTCCTTATAAAACACCAAGTAAATCGACTTTTTTATTGAGAAAAAAATTATAGATATCTCATTATAAAAGCCGATTGAAAGATATAGTGCAAGAAAATACTCTTTGGATAGACTTTTCTAATTCATTTTAAAGATATTTTTTTTATTATAAATAATAAGTAATAAATGCTTCAATACTTTAAATAATCTAAAGGGCGTAAATACAACACTTTCCGCTTAAACCGAACCTGTTTCAAACGAATATTTGACTAATGCAATCGAAGGAAAAAAGTATGTACTTAATTTTTGAATAACATATATAATTTAACATTATTTGATAATACCAACAGTCTTAAGGCGGACTATTGGTTATTAAGAACTATATTTTTCGGTTAATACAATATACAAATCAACTTTACACAAAAAATAGTTTTTATGCCTATGACAAAACTATGGGGCATGTTTATATTGTCTCCTTTGCTCGAAACCGGAACATTTTTCAAACGGTTTTTTATTTCAAATACATATATTTGTCTAAATATAAATAAGAAATCATAAACTGCTTACAGGAAGCAGTAAGCCAAAAATTGGACTCTGAACAAAGTATATTTAAGTATCAAGTTTGTGGATCAGTACGACACATTTCATAATTAAAGTGTTTGTAATCTAGCACTAGCAATTCACAAATTTTATATAGACAATTAATCCATAACCGAAGTACACTGATGATGGATAGTTGACAATATTTGAAACAGATGTATGGTCAGGTATACTAACAAGTAATTGCTTTACAATTTGTAATTTTTCTCGCCCACTAAAGTTCAGTTTAAACAAAAAGTACTGTATATTTTTTGTAATTTAAATTATTTCAAACTTACTTGATGGTCTTATTTTAATTTTATTTGGATAATTGATTTTTACTAATTAGTATTTGTCTTACTTGTTTTGCCAGCTGCATCCAAACCAAGCATTAATATTCTCATTTCTTTGTTGCCGAAAATTTTTGAGAGTAGTTTTCCCATAATGGTATATCATTGATATTATTTTTACCTGAAATAAATAGGACATATTATTTATTTTGTCATATCATTTTCTATTTATTTATTTACATAAAGAAATCGAACAGATATATTTCTTCCTTAACAAATTACCCACTATGTTTTCGAGATATCTGAGTAAAATATTACTGAAAGAAAATTGAAGATGACTTAGTTATAATACAAGACTAAATGGAATAAAAAGACATCCTAAATTGTTAAAAATAATTGCATATGTTTGGATTCAGATAATATTACATTATCCACATAATTGTGTGATTCTCAAGAATATAGCGCATAAATGCAACCAGTTAAATAAGGAAGAATTTAATCAAGCACGTTTAATTACTTCTTATTACCTGCCATTATTTTATTAAATACAAAGTAAACAAAATTTATAAAAGAAACGATTGCTATTAATTCATATTCTGAAAGAAAAAACCAGCCAGTTTTGTTAAATATATAATTCTTTTTTATTAAATTGATTTTTAACGTCTGTTTTGGCGAAAGAAAAGAACGGTAGAGAAATTGCAACAACAAATATTTCTTTATTTTTAATCAATTGAATTGAATTATCTTCCAATGCGGTAAACATATTTAATAACATGTACATATACATAAGTGCATGTAAATATCAAACACAAACAAAAGATCTTTTGATCTGTGGAACAAAAACTAAGTTATATTATAGATAAATAAATAGACTGTGTGTGTGTGTGTGGTCAAACTCATACAAGTGATTGTTCCAAACAAATTTAGAAACAAAAAACCTTCAATATTATGAGATTTTATATATCAAGTCAAACTATGAACATTTGCGGAAATGGTAGAAATACAGCCGGTGTAAGCGCTACTCATAAATAAATTTAGGTTGTACAAAAAGCTATAAATGAAGAAAAAAACAATTATTAATATCCAAAAGAACATTTTTAATGATCTTTGTCATTTAATTTATCGGCCGAACTTTTTAAAGCTAGTGGCGAAGAATTATCAAAATGCATGCTACAGCTAATTTGCAATATATGGTCGGATGAATGCATACTCAACGATTGGAATTTAAGTGAGCTTTGCCCAATTCACAAAAAAGGTGATTCTGCAAACTGCGCCAACTACCGCTGATCTGTCTTTTAAATATCGCATACAAGGTTCCGTCAAACGTACTATGTGAAAGATTGAAGCCAATCGTCAACCAACTGATTGGACTTTATCAACGTGGCTTCAGATCTGGCAAATCCACTCTAGACCAGATATTCAAAAATCTTCAAATCCTGGAAAAGACCCAAAGAAGCAAATCGACACACACCATCTATTTGTCTATTTCAAAGCTGCTTTTGACACTACGACTAGAAGCACTCTTTATGCCGCTATGTCTGAATTTGGTATCCCAGCAAAACTTAAGCAGCTATGTAAAATGACGTTGAGCAACACCACCAGCTCCGTTAGAATCGGGAAGAACCTCTGCGAGCCGTTTAAACGAGATTAGACAGTGTGACTCTTTATCGTGTGACTACTTTAACCTAATGTTGGAAACGATAATCCGAGCCGCACATTAAAACCGCACTGACATAATATTCCATAAAAGTATTATACAGCTAGCGTTTGCCGACGATATGGATAATACCTGCACCGTCAGTGCGGCATTTTTCACCACAGAAAAACACACGAAAAAAAATGGATTTTGTGGTAAATAAGGGGACCAAAAATGACGTCATCCCAAAGATTTAACGAATTATCACTTTTACCAACAGATGTTACTTCGGGCTAAGGCAATTGAGAAATAACGCCCTCTCTCGACAAACAAAAATCACGCTCCATAAATCTCTTATCATGCCTGTCCTGCTGTATGGTCAGAAGCTTGAAGAATTACCAACAGTGATAAGAAAGTGTTAGGAGCATGCGAGAGAAAAATTGTTCGGAAAATCTATGGACGCTTATACGTTGGCAACGAGTATCGAATTAAATAGAACGCTGAGCTGTATGAGCTATACCGCGACATTGACATAGTTAAGCGCATAAACATTCAGCGGCCTCTGGCTGGAAAAGTGTTTTATTCGGTACCCACAGGTAGAGAACATCCACATCTTCGGTGGTTGCACCAAGTGACCAACGATTTCGGGATGCAGGATATTATCAACTGACGACAGCAAGCCACTGATCAGACTGGCTGTCGGAGGCTACTGGACGCGACCAAGGACGACTATAACGAATATAATGGCCATTTGAGTAAGTTGTGCTTTAACTAAAAAGAAACCTCTCGTTTAGGTTTCTTGCCTCCAAATTCAGCATAAAGTTCAAAAAAGTAAAATAAAAGGTTTAAGTTCTTCAAGGACATAACTCAAAAACTTGAACACCAGAAATTGAAACTTCAGAAATAGCAGGTGAATGCTAGAAAACTTTAAGGCAGCAATTGAAGACCTTGAAGCTTAACTACAACGAAGATAAATTACCGCTGATACCTACAATACAAAAAAGAGCTCCAAACCATTAAAAATGAAATAGTCATAAAATGTATGTTAAAAACGATGACAAGTGAAAAAAACGAATATATTATGATAAAATATAAGAAACTAAAGTGCAAAGACTATATCGGCTTAGAGAAACTATAATAGCTTTATGGCAATTTTGTTGAAGAAATTATCGCAGATAACGCACTGTTAAGAAATAAAACAGACAGAAAACTGTTAATAGAAAAACAGACATCTGCTACCACAAATGTCAAAACAATGATTAAAAACAAAATAATAAAAATATTCAAATTCCAAGAATAATTGTTTTTAAATAATGAACAAGAAGTCGTTAAGAATCATAAATACCTAAGAATAAATATGAACACGAACTTTGACACCTACTTAAATGAGAAGTTAAAAGAGGCCAAATTGGCTGATTGAGTTTCTGGCAAATCCGTAAGTGTCATTGTATGTAAATTACAAAGTTATTAAAGCTAGGGTTAAATCAGTTTTGAAATATGTAGCTCAAATGCGGTGTGTGGAAAAATATTAGCAGTACAAAAATTCAGACATTCGCTATTAAGATAATTTTTTGTCTTTAGCCCAGTCTCCACATGGTACATGTAGAGACTGGGCTACCATATACTGTGGGCTACTATATATCCTAACTTTAAAATTTCCTTTTGATTACGTCAACTATGTAATTAAATTGCCAGATAACCAAATTCTAAAAATATTGCTGCAGCACTTAGTTAATGAAAAACTATTATTTTCTGAAAAATAGGCTATTTTAGCATTCGACAATTAACTTGAATAAAGATGAAAAAAAAACTGTGACAGTAAAATATAATTACAAAATTAAGCATTCTTAAGCGGAGAAATGTAATCAAGATGACAAGGATTTGTATCTTTAGGGATGCTTACACTAAATTAAATTATAATCTATGTGTCAATAATTACTCTCATGGTTTCCTATGAAAACCATCACAACACGGTGTGAATTATTGCAATCGAAAGAGAAAGGTGATATAATTCATTTAATAAGAGAGTGTCCAATTTTCAAGAAACTTTGAATTCAATAGTTCGGCAAACTATTGTTCGAATTTGAAGAATCTGTACAAATTATAAATGGTTATAATCGATGCTTATTAACTATATTTATTGGTTCTAAAACGGCTGGGTCTGTGTCCGAATGCAATTCGTCGAGTTTTACGACCATGTGACGTCACACTTAAAAGGGAGTTCCCTGCGAATTACAAAAACAATAACAAATACATTAATTAAAAATGCGTTAAATTATAAACAATATATACACAATAAATAAAATTTTTTAAAAATTTATATAATAAAAATATATTATATCTTATAATATTTTATCATAAGTACTAAGAAGATTAAGATCCAAACTTTCAGCAGACGGGAAAATTGCCTTAGCCATAATCTTATACAAATATAGTCAACCTAAGTTATAAATTTCTTTGTAATATAAAAATTTAAAAATGAATTAATAAACCTACTGCTACTACTACTATTAATCACCATGATTTGTTTTAAGAAATACTAAACAAAATATAGACTTATCGCTTTAAATAAAAATACAGTCTAACTTTCATAACTCAAACTTCTATAACTGGAAATGCTACAACTCGAATAAAAATACGAGAAAATGCATTCTATAAGTCGATAATAAGCATTCTATAATCCATTTTGGAAGTCCCTTTTTCCAAACCAAATCTTTCAATTTTTTCTTTCTTATGTTGCTCCTTTGTGCATATGCCAGTTACTGGCAAACGGTAGTAAAAGGATAGCGCTCTGCTTTAAACAAGCTGAATTTGGCCAATTTTCTACATGGGACCAACAAAACGAGATTCCTTTAATTTTCTTGAATATCATTGATGAAGACCGTGGGTTGATGTAAAAGTGAAGTAAAAGAAAAGTAAATAAAATAACTTCCAATGCTACTCTTAACGATTATATTATATTGAGCTTGACAATGAAATTTCTACATCAAGCTTTCCTACAGATGACGATATTATTAAGCATTATAGCTCTGTATATACCTCTATAATGAGAATCCGATTCTAAGCGCAGCAGAAAGTGGTGATAAGGGTTCGGTAGATGAAATTGTTGATCACCCTTCCAAGAATGAAGTTGAAAACTCATTCCAAATTCTGAATTTTTATTTGTAAACGAATTATACTACAACTGATGATCACTATAAGAGTTTGAATAAAATGAAATCTATTTTTATTGATAATAAGAAAAATAATAAAATCCCAAACCCTAATTTCTGAATATTTTACTTCTCTATAACTTCTGTGCTCTGTATTTAATTGCAAATAAATAAATATCTTAAAATGTAATTCTAGATTCTTTCAAAAATAAAAAAATCTTTGACTCGAAGTCTCCATAAGTCGAACCTTTTTTGAACCAATTATACATTTTTTGTAGCAGAACTCTGCAGAAAGTTGGCAGGGTACTGTTGTAGACATAGATATCGACAGGAGTTGTTCCGACAAAAGCTTGGATCTAAAATGAAATAAAAACGACAGTCAGGTGAAAGATGAATGGTCAATAAAGCTCTCCCATTCCACCCAACAATGCAATTTTAGCTTCCGTATTTTGGTACGCGTACGATATAATCATATTCGACCATCTTATTAAATCAAAAAGCAGCAACAGTGAATGATATGTTGGAATATTAGGTTGTTTGTAGGACGAAGAAGCAAAAAATATTTCAATGAATCGTACCACAAACAATGTACCGAAACAAAAAACCTATTTTCAGGCCGAACATAATTCGATCTAGAATGATAGCCACACAAAGGATATAAAACCGTTGTGTGAGTACAAATATGATACGGAAGTCAATAAAGTCTGAACATTGCATTAAGCATCATTAATTTTTAAATGTAGAAATCCAAAAGATATGTTTAGAAAATCTTTTATCTGATTTTTAAAACGATGTGACTATGGATACACTATGGCTTCATACCTGACGTTATAATAGACTGCATCAAGTCTGTTGTCAACACTAGCTTAGCAGTTTTAGTTGTTCCAGTGATTCATCATTTCAGATAAATTGTACATTTATAACATATCGCATTTTCCATCATAAAAATATTATTTCGTAACCAGAATTAGCTTTCAATGATATTTCAAAATAAAGTCAAAATTAATTTATTATAATTTTCTGAAACTTTATCATTTGGATAATATTGCACCAAACGTCAGCCACACCCATAAATATTTTATTGAAATGTGTTTTGACTTGTGCTGAAATGCAACTAAATATCAATCTAAACATTTTATTTTTTGTGGTAAAATATAAAATACACAAAGTAAACTTTTGATAAACCTTCGCTGCATTGTTAGAAAAGGTTGACATCGTCGTCACCGTTATAGCTTATAGAACGCTTATAAGAACCTTATTAATATTTATCACAATTCATACAAATGATAAGTAATTTAAGTTATTTAGCTGAGATGTTGAATGTTGAAAAAGCTCGACAAACAACAAAGTCGGAAAATTCTGATACAGCATAAAAAGGAACTGAGCAAGGATGCATTTCTGGACGATTTTCATTTGTTTTTGCTTTTTAGCAATTTTCAATTAAATTTAAAACATAATTTTAATTAATTTTCCAGGAAAACTCAATATATCAAGATTATGTAAAAGTATGATTTCACTAATATTCAGACACATTAAATAAATCATGAGTCAAATAAGTTTATCTTAAACAAGAAATATTCGTTGCCAGCTTTATATCAACGTACTTCTCACAATAAAATTCTACACATAGACGATTTCAAATATTTTTACCTTTAGCATTCCAATTTAATTTTAAATTTCAACGCGTCAGTTAGAATTGAAGATCTTCCAGGATTCTGCCATAATATAATATAGATTACTATATTTGCCAAAATGCCCTTAAATCTTTCAAAACCACAGCGGGGCTTATGTTACTTTATTATAGATGATTTTTATATTATAACTAAATATATGTACGTATATATGCATGTAAGAACACGGATGCAGATTATATTTATAAACACAATGTTTACACATGTATCTTCACATCAACATATATTAAATCAGTCTATCCTTGCATTAACATGACACGGGAACCAAAGCACACAAACTACAGATAAATAAATTTATAACAACAAGGTGACTGTAAAATTATAAATGAATCATATCCACCAATATCGCTCACACATAAAACGACACACTGTCAAACATGAAGTAGTTTTATATAGAGACACAAGAGAATGGAAACTTCTTATCTGTTTCTGTATTTTTGAAAATACAAACTTATTGCTGGTACATGTAATCAAATTTAAACAAAATGGACAGAATATTTGAACCATTAAAAGTTATTATCACAGAATAAAAAATTCAATTATAACAATATCACATAATGAAATTACTTAAAAATGCTTATGTTTAATGAATTTAAAATAACTTTGTTTAAATGGATGCAATAATAGCTGCGTTTCAGCAAACATGATCCGCTCAATGATCTGGATCATCTTTGCTGAAACGATACGGATCTCGTTTGAAAATAATTGGCAACGCATGAAATATGCCAGTTGGGTTTGTGTACAAAATTTTTTGATTTATGTGATTAATTTTGGCACTAAAAAAATATGTGAGAAAATTTTGAATACAAAAAATCTAAAAAATAGAAAAAAAATAAAATTTGTTGAAATGTCTGAAGTATTAAATGTAAGTTTTTATTTAGTATTTACTTAAAAACTTAAATTTAATTCTATAGTAAATAAATGAAAATTGCAGGTTTTATTAGAATTATCAAGCAAAACTGACTCCTCTATTTTCTTTTTAAACACTAGTCCAAGTTTATTAAGCTCAGGGGATGAAGTGCATCAGCATGGATATAGTGGAAATTTTGTGGAAATGATCAATAATTGTTCCGTTAAAGACTATTTGATTGATATTTGCGCATAAAATATACAATTGCTATATATTAATTATGTTTCATATTTTAATAGATTTGTTAATAAATTCCAATCAGCGAGTGCAAAATAACCGTGATGATCACAATCGGACGAGAGTAATGAATGAATTTTATATATTTTTGTAGTATATGGCAAATATGAATACTTTTTCCGAATTTGATATTTGTTTTGGCATACCAAGAGCTTCTGTATGGAGAATAATTAAAAGAATTAGTGTTTAGCGTATATCAATTGGACACTAATTTATAAAATACGCACTTGCTAATAATGCAAAAGTGGAAGTTTCGAACAAATTCCCGTTCGTATTAGTTGCATAGACCGTATACATGTAAAAATAAATGCACCAAACCATAGCAAATAGGATTATTTCAAAAGGAAGCATGACTGGCTTAATCTTGCAGGCAGTTTGTGATGAAAATGGATTTTTTATAAACGTGTATGTTGGAGAGCCTGGTTCCTTATGTATTGTTCTGTTTTAATTAAATAAATATATTCAACTTAATTTATATACATTCATTTCAAATTAATTGATTTTAATAAATTATCAAACACTTTTTCAATAATAATAAAACGTAAATAAATAAAGTAATAATTTTTGTTATAGTTATAGTTAAAGCATTACTTTAAACAAAGAAATAAATAATAATGACATATTAAATAAATAAGTACATAAAATAAATAATAAATAAATAAAATCAATAATAAATAAATATAAATGTAGATTTGTTTATAATTTTACTGCACCGTTGCATCGCATTTCCAACCTCATTTGCATTAAAATGCGTTCCACTTTTATCTTTTACATACATTCCACATTGAACCAGAAAGTGAACCAGATCAATTGCTGGTTCACCCCATTGTTGTTGTTTTTGTAGTATATTCGATCATGGCAACCCTGTATAAAGAAATAGATAAAAAGGAAAAATACAAAATGCGTTGTTGTTCGTCGTTGTGCTCAAAGGAGTAAGCGTGCCGTGTCGTAATTATTATTATTATTAATAGCAAATTGTAAATCTATATAACTTTAATCAATAAAGTATATTGTATTATATATAAAGAATATAATAAAATTTGGCGACGAGGATAAAACATTAAAGGATGGCGAAGAATTTTGGTGAAATAAGTCAATATAACGTGGCGTCGGGGAAATGGAAAACATACATGGAACAAATGGAATTTTTCTTTGTTGCAAATAACATCACA